GCAACCACTATGAAAGGCAGTATGGCGTTTTCTCAAAAAGTTGCAAATAGAGATACCATTTGATCCAGCAATTCCACTGCTGGGAATACACCCTTAAAGAAACCAGAACAGAACTGCCACCCAAGCAGATATATGCACACATATGTTTACTGCAGCTTTGTTCACAATAGAAAAGAGTTGGAAACAACCCAAGTGCCCATCAACAAATGAATGGATAGAGAAGCTGTGGTATATTCACACAACGGAATACTATGCTGCGCTGAAAAACAAGGAACTCATGAAATATTACACAAAAAGTGACCCTGGAGGACATTATGCTGAGTGAAATAGTCACAAAAGGACAAATACTGCATTAGTGCCACTGTTGTAAAATGGGACTGATATTGGGGCTGGGGGAACCTAAGAAAAGAGGGGATAAATAATGGATGCTGTATTGAAACAGATGAGGAAGAGAACTGTTTAAAAGGAATATATGATTAGGTATAATTTTCATGACAAGAGTCCAGAATAAGAGCTGCATAGTAAAGTGGACTGCGACAAGGGAAGTGGGGTTGGGGGGAACTATATAACAATGAAAGATTTTTTTTTCTTTTCAAAGAGAAAAGCGAACTGGGGGGGAAGGGTAGGTAGGAAGGAAAATGTACAACAATGTATGAATGGAAATGAATGGAAGTCTCTGTAAACTTTCACTAAAATTTCAATTGAAAAAAAAATCTAAATTTTTTTTAAAAATGAAAGCATAAATGTCACATTCACTTTATATTAATCTGTTTCCTTTCAAATAATTGTTTCTTCTTAGAAATCAAAAAAACTAAGGGAAGAAATTCCACTTAGACTGCATTTCCATATTTTTATGCTGCTTATCTTAGCAAATGAGATCATGTTTAGTAACTAGAAAGTCAACAAATTAGAGGTAGACCTTCAACAAACTTGATGGAATGGGAGCTGCAACCATGGGCTCAAGACCAACAACAATGGCAAGGATTACTAAACGTACATCTTTGTACTTAGGGTGTGGTGCTAAGGCTTTTGAAAATGACTTTTCTAGCCATTGCCTTAGCCTTCTCAGGAGTGTGAACTTTATTTGCCTCAACTGTGGATACGTGGTTCACCACTGATCAGCACCTTCTACATTATCAATAGCTGTGAGGCCAACACGAGAAAGAGGGAAGGAAAGGGGGGGTACCAAACTGGGGACTACAGTGAGGTGCAGCTGGATGGGGCCAGAGTTTAAAGTCCTGCTTGCTGGACAATTAAGATTCCTGTGACTGATATAAGACAAAGCTCGCTGGATGACTAAGGAAAACAGAGGCTTCTTGCATTTGTGCTGCTGGACTACTGAAGCTGGTCACCAGATTGAGAAGCTGTCTACATTAATTGAGGAATTGTGTCTAACCAGGCTTGGGGCCGCTGTTTGCTAAAACTTGGGCTTTCATTGTGTGATTATCTTTTGCATCCCCCATTCCCCAACCTATTTCCTTAATCAATCCCACAACTGTGAGTAAAGTCAAGCCTGTGAGACAATTTGCCACAAATATCAGACCCTCAAAGTAGATGCAGCAGAGTGGAAAGAGCCATGTCTAACCTTGTAGCTATTATTTTGGTACTGCTGATGTTGTTAATGAGGACAATTTCCCTTTGCAGAGTTAACTGTGGTAACTCATCCATTCCAGCACCGTCTTTGATCACTTTACGCAGGGTAACTATTGGTAGGATTTGACTTAACAACACCTAAGCACAATGTCATCATTCTATTTGTAAAAATTAATATAAAGTTTATGTTTTTATGCATCCACCTATTGTCTGGCTACTTTTTTTATCAACACTGGAGCAAGACAGATAAATGTAAGCTAACAAAGTGTTTAAACCAACAAATTTGGAGCCAGCTATTTCATATCCTATTATTGTCACTCAACTAGATGAATGATGATAGTAAAAGTGTTACTATATCTGTGTATCAGTTTCTTTTTATCTGTAAAAAAGGGGTTATGATAGTACCACTGAGAATTAAAAGAATATATTTGAATTTTTAGGGCACTGTTATATAATAATATTACAACTGAGAATTAAAAGTGTATTATAAATTTTTTATAACATTATTTGAACTTTGGTTGCCTCAACTATAAAGATGTTGATTATTACTATTATTACAAATATGCATGATACTTATACCTTAAAGTAGATACCTGTTTTCTGATCACAAGAGTGAAATTCTACTTCTAATGGAATTTCAAAATATTAAAATATTACTCAGCTAAACGGACACACAAGCAGCTACCATCCACACACACTATGAAGGAGGAGGGGGAAAAAACCATCTATAACACTGAAATTTCCCAGAAGCAGCAGACAGCTTCAATGCCCACAAAAAATAAATAAGCCACCAACAGAAACAAGGAGGCCAGATTAAAGAATCAAATGTCCCAGAGGCAAGAAGGCTGAACACTTTGGGATGGAATACTGTGCAAAGATGCTCAAGAAATTACAGGCGATAGAAGAAAGAGTTCAAGCCTAAGCAAAGAGATAGAAGTATTTAAAAACCATTACAAGAGAGATATAATCAGTAGAATACTAGGAGTCATTAAAAAAAATGACAATGGAATTCAAAATAAAAAGACCAACACTGCAGAAGTTATCAACATGAAGGAAGGACAAAGAGCATAATGGAAGAAATGGACATATAATCAAGGAGACAGAAGACAAGACCCTTAACATCAATCTGCCTGAAGAAAAAGTAGAAACAGAAAGGAAAGAAAATTAAGAAGCCACAGATTTATGTGTGATGCCATCAAGCAAAAGAACAAACGTGTGACTGGAATTAAATGGGGATAAAAGAACATTGAGAAAACTGTGGAAAAGGGACTAGAAGAAAACTTTGCAAACATTATGAAAAACAAGCAAAGATACATTCAGGAAGCTGACTGAATCCCAAGCAGGACCCCAAGAGAAAAACAAATCACAGTCAAATTTTTCACAAAGTTCAGAATACCAAAAGTAATTAAAGAAAAATGAAATTAGTTAACTACAAAGGAGAACGAAGAAGATTGAACACTGCCTTCTCAGCAGAAACCATATAAGCAAAATAACGTGATGGTATAAACCAAAAGGCTGAAAGAAAACAACTGCCAACTGAGAACTGTGTATTTAGCAAAACTGTTCATTGATATGAAAGAGAAATAAGGTTAGTCTCAGAAAAGCAGGAACTAAAGGAACTAGTGAAACCAAGACCAAATTTACAAGGAATACTAAAGGAAGTTCTTCACACAGAAACAGCACAGAAAAGTAGATAGACTTTTGTAATAAGTAAAAATGCATAAAAGAACAACAAAATGTCATCAATAAAACTTTGCCTATCGATAATCACACTGAATGTGAATGGCTTAAATGCAACAATTAAGAGAAAAAGAATAGTAGAATGGATAAAAAACCAAAACCCATCAATATGATGTCTACAAGTACATCTAAGAATTAAGGAGAAAGACTAAAAATCAAAAGGTATACAAAATTATAGAACAAAAAAAAAAATCCTGGAGTGGCAATATTGTTATCTAATA